TCCTCGGCGGCGACGATGTAGCCGGCCAGCACCGGCAGCACCGCCCCGTTCATGGTCATCGACACGCTCATCTGGTCGAGCGGGATCTCGTCGAACAGGATCTTCATGTCCTCGACGGAATCGATCGCCACCCCGGCCTTGCCGACGTCGCCCAGCACCCGCGGATGGTCGCTGTCGTAGCCGCGGTGGGTGGCCAGGTCGAAGGCCACCGACAGGCCCTTCTGGCCGGCCTTGAGGTTGGCCTTGTAGAAGGCGTTGGACTCCTCGGCGGTGGAAAAGCCGGCGTACTGCCGCAGGGTCCAGGGGCGGCCGGCGTACATCGTCGCGCGCGGCCCGCGGGTGAAGGGCGCGAAGCCGGGCAGGGTCTCCTGGAAGCCGATCTCTTCCAGGTCCGCCGCGGTGTAGAGCGGCTTGACGTCGATCCCCTCGGGCGTGGTCCAGACCTTGCCGTCGAGCGAGTCGACCTTCAGTTCCTTGGCCGCCAGGGCCTGCCAGTCGTCGAGGCTCTTCTTGGGAAAGTCCGCCATGGCTCGCCTACGTCTGCGCTGTTTTGCCGCGGCGGTCTCCACATAAGACCGCCGTCCGGTGCGCCGGATATAACCACGCAGGCGGGAGCCCTGTCCACGCGGCGGCTGTGCGCAGCGCGATCCCCGGCGGCAGGGCGCCGCGGCGGTGCGATCCTCGGGGGCGCGCCGCCGCCTACCAGCGCAGCACCGGCAGGCAGGCGACGGGGCGCATGCCGGCCTTGGCGCAGAGGCGGCAGACCGCCTCGGGCGTGGGCGTCTCGCCTTCTTCGATATCCAGCGCCTCGGCATGGATGCCGCCGGCGATCAGGATCGGNNGCCACGTCGGTGCGCAGGGAATCGCCCAGCGCGGCGACGCGGCGCGGGTCGCGGATGCCCAGGCCCTCCAGGCAGGCCTCGTAGACCTCGGCGTGGGGCTTGCCGTGGTAGCGCACCTCGCCGCCCAGCTCCTCGTAGCGCTGGGCCAGCAGGCCGGCGCAGATCTCGCGCCGGCCGCCGCGGATCACCTCCAGGTCGGGGTTGGCGCAGACCATCGGCAGGCCGCGCGCGGCGCCGGCGGCCAGCTCGTGGGCGTAGTCGTCCAGGGTCGAGCTGGTCATGTGGGCGCCGGTGTTGAGCAGGAAGTCGGCCTGCGCCAGGTCCTCCACGAAGTCGTAGTCCAGCCCGGCGCGCATGCCGTGGTCGCGGTCCGGGCCGATGTGGAAGCAGCGCCGGCCGAGCGCGGCGTACCAGGGGTCGCGGCGGCGGCTGAGATGCTGCCAGGTGACCTCGCCGGAGGAGAGCACCAGGTCGTAGAGCCCCGGGGCGATGCCCAGTTCGTTCATCTTGGCCTCGACCTCGGCGGCGCGGCGCGGCGCGTTCGACAGCACGGCGATCCGCGCGCCGCGCGCGCGCAGGCGCTCCAGGCAGGCGACGGCCTCGGGGAAGGCGTGCACGCCGTCGTGCAGCACGCCCCAGAGGTCGCAGACGTAGGCGTCGTAGGCCGCGGCCAGGGGCTCCAGGCCGGCATGCAGGGGAATGGTCATGGAAAGCCGTTCACGTTCGGGAAGGAGGCGGCGTCCTTGTGCCACAGCCCGGCCCCCACCTCCAGCCCCTTGCCCTGCCGCCGGGGGCGACGCGGGCGGCGTGCGGGGCGCCGGCCGGGCGCGGCCTCAGGCGGCCTGGCGGGCCGGGCGGGGCTCGCCGAAGAGGTAGCCCTGGCCGTAGTCGATGCCCAGCTCCAGCAGCTCGACGAGCTGCTCGTCGCTCTCGATCTTCTCGGCCACCAGGTCGATCTCGGCCTGGGCCAGGCGGCGGCGCAGCCGGGTGACGCGCTCCGGCGGCTCGGTCAGGAGGGCGGCGGCGGGCACCTTGACGAAGTCGACGTGGCGGGCCGCCAGGGCGCCGGGGTCGAGCTCCAGGTCGCGCACCGAGTCGAGGGACAGGCGCGCGCCCAGATGCCAGAGCCGCACCAGGTAGTCCTCGGCCTCCGGCGCCAGCGCGGCGAAGTCGGCCTGGGTCATCTCGAACACCAGGCTGGTGGCCAGCTCGGCGTTGGCGTCGAGGTAGTCGACGAAGTCGCCGAAGAACTCCGCGTCCTTCAGGGTGTGGGGGGAAAGGTTGCAGACGAAGCCGACCCGCTCGCCCTTGCGCTGGATGCGGCGGACGAGCTGGATGCAGCGCAGCAGCAGCATGTTGTCGATCGCCGCCATCAGGCCGGCGCGCTCGGCCACCGCGATGTAGGCCTCGGGCAGCAGCCGGCGCCCTTCGGCGTCGCGCAGGCGCGAGAAGCACTCGTAGAAGCGGCGGCGGCGCTGGGGCAGGCTGACGATCGGCTGCAGCACCAGCTCGATGCGGTCCTCCTTCAGTGCCTCGCGCACCGCCGTCAGGGCCGCCTGGGCCGGAATCCGCGCGACGCCGTCGCCCGCCGCCGGGCGGCCGGCGGCGTGGTCGTGGCCGTGGCCGTGGTTGGGGGCGGGGGAGGGCTGTGCAGTCGCAGTCGCGGCCGCGGCCGTGCCGTCGAGCTGGGTGACCACCGACTTCAGCAGGCGGACCTCGGCCTGGGCCTCGGTGACGGCCCGCTCGGGTTCCGGGGTCCGGGCGGCGGCGTGGGCGCGCAACGCCTCGACCAGGCTCTTCAACTCGCGCCTGGCCCAGAGCACCTCCTCCTCGGCGTCGTGCACGCGCCGGCGCAGCTCGGCCATCTCGCCGCCCAGGGCGACCAGCGCCCGCTCGCGCCGCAACGCCGCCAGCCCGGCGGCGAGCAGCAGGAACAGGCCGCCGGCCAGCAGGCCGTGCGAAAGGGGCGGCAGTCCGGGCGCCAGCGTCGGCAGCGCCAGCCAGAGGCCGGCGGCGGCGAGCGCGGCAAGCAGCAGCGGGAGGAGGGCGCGTCGCATGATCGCCAGGATGGGCCGCAAGGGCTTGAACAAGCGTTAACCAAAGGCTAGCCAAAGACCGGCTTGCCACAGGAGACCGCTGCCATGACCGTGACGATCTACCACAACCCCCGCTGCTCCAAGTCGCGCCAGACCCTGGCGCTGCTGGGCGAGCGCGGGATCGCGCCGCAGGTGGTGGAGTACCTGAAGACGCCGCCCGACGAGGCGACCCTGCGCGAGCTGCTGGCCAAGCTGGGCCTGGCGCCGCGCGAGCTGCTGCGCAAGGGCGAGGCGGTCTACAAGGAGCTGGGGCTGGCCGATCCGGCCAGGAGCGACGCGGAGATCGTCGCCGCCATGGCCGCGCATCCGATCCTGATCGAGCGGCCCATCGTGGTCAGCGGCGACCAGGCCGCGCTCGGCCGCCCGCCGGAGAAGGTGCTGGAGATTCTCTAAGCCTTCTGGTCGGCGCCCACGGCGTCGGCGACCCGGGCGAAGCCGTCGCGCTCGAGCAGCGCGGCCAGCTCGCGCTTGATGCGCGCGACCAGGCCCGGCCCCTCGTAGATCAGCGCGGTGTAGAGCTGCACCAGGCTGGCGCCGGCGCGGATCTTGGCGTAGGCGGTGGCGCCGTCCTCGACGCCGCCGACGCCGATCAGCGGCAGGCGGCCCTCGGTCAGGCGGTACATCTCGCCCAGCAGCCGGGTCGAGGGGTCGAACAGCGGCCGGCCGGAGAGACCGCCGGCCTCGCCGCGCGCCGGGTCGGTCAGGCTGTCGGGCCGCGCCAGGGTGGTGTTGGAGACGATCAGCCCGTCGAGGCTGTCCAGCGCCACGGCGGCGATGTCGCGCCGGTCGTCCCCGGTCAGGTCGGGGGCGATCTTCAGCACCAGCGGCGGCGCCGGATCGGGCAGCGCGGCGCGCACCGCGGCAATCAGGCGCTCCAGCTCCGCGCGCCCCTGCAGCGCGCGCAGGCCGGG